ATTCAGCCACCCCTCCATTTATCTAGCAACCAACTCATCCTTTTATCCAATTATCCGACCACCCATATATTTCATTCAAATATCCACCTAACCACTCATCCTTCCATCCAATTATCCACTCACAGGCTCATCCTTCCACCCAGTTATCCACCCACCCAATCATCCCTGCATTCACTTGTCCACCGACTCATCCACTCATCCATCCAGAAGTTGGAGGTGAAACATTTGGACCTGATCACTCAAATATCAAAATTATTCAGCAGTCCAAAGACAGATGGAGACGGTACACTATCTTTTTACAGGACCTAGTTTAGCTACAAGGCTTGACTTACTACATGCAGTGAGGCTAATGCTTTATTCTGATTTCCCTGCCTCCTTTTTCAAACATCAGGATCTGACCCAGTATGGACAAAGACAGGTAGGACTGATTTAAAGCACTTTTTTCAAAAGGCGAAAAAGAATGGACAATCTGGGATTCACATGGAAAATAATGTCATATAAGTGTACTTTTTTTGGTGTTTGTTAATTTTCATAGTTGTTCTTAAACAATTCTCAGAAAATAGTTTTGATATGTTAATAAAATATAAAGCTGACTAGTATCTTTTCCATTATTAAAGGAAAAGTCTGGTCATATTCAGAATTAAAACTTCTGAAAGTACTTTAAATACAAAATTATTAGATAATGTTCAATAAATGATAAGTGTTTTTAATTAAGAGTAATTTCATTTGAATGTGCTTTACTGGAGACACCCATTTTTGTCAAAGAGCACTACTGCCACAAACTACCGGTTTGTGACGTCACGGTGCGGCTCCGGCTGTTGAGCAAGTTCCAGTTTTGCATCTGGTATTTTTCTTATGCACTATTATCCAAGTGATCTTGAAAACATTCTTCTTTGAAATGCTGGCTATGCATTATGTGTTTTTTCTCTTGCGAGAAGTTTGATGGCAAATCCTCCATCTTTAAGTTGGCAATCCAACGATGAACCCGTCCGTGGTGGATCATGAATCGGAAAGGTGAATTAACTTTTTTTCACTTTTACCTGATGTACAACAACATGCCATGCACATAGGCATTGTCAGTTTAACTATAGGTCTTGCGAATTTCAACAGTGGTGAAATTTTTGTACTGATTAACTAAATTAATTAAATCACCGCAAACGTATTACTGTACATTGGAAAAAATCTATATCTAGATAAGTAATTTTTTCTTAAAAGAAGTGCATTTGTTCTTGGATTGAGGAGGTAAAAGATACATTTTGCCAATGGAACAAGACAATTTACACTTAAAGTAAGAAAATACAATTGCTTTGTCTTATTTCAAGTGCATTTCTATCTAATTATCTTATTTTAAGAGTAAAAATACGAATTCCGTTGACAAATCATCTCATTTACCTACTCAAATTAAGACTAAATACACTTAATTTAAGAAATTTTTACTTAATTCTATATTATTTTTCCAGTGTAGTTTTAGGTACAGATAATGATCCACCGATTATTCCTTGCTGACCAGACTTTTCCTTTAAACTGGTAAATTAGTATTTCAGTTTTTTTTTTTTTTTTTTTTTTACAACATTTTGGACCATGCAAAACACAGATTTGCCTTCACAAAGCCTCAGAAGGACAACATTTATGTACAAAAAGTATAGCTGTACATGAAATTATGTTTTTGTTTTTATAAAGTGTTTTCAAAATGTTTGTTGTTGTTGGCAATCATATAAATATACTGGTGTGATACTGTAACTTACTATGTTTGATTGGTTTTTGGTATACGTCTATTGTGAATTTATTGCCCCCCAGAGAACACTCCACCAGCCGCCACTCCTTAAGATAGGCATAAAGGTTCCTCCTCCCACAAGACAATAATCGTAAACATAAAGCCAGATTTATGACTTTTATCAGGATAAAACTTATACATTTAAAAGTTTTTAACTTACCTCTGCTCTACCAGCGCCAAATCAACGGCTGGATCATCTCCTCAATAAGCAATCAAATTCTGCACAGCCCAGGTAATGAGCCATTCATTTGATACAGCTGTGTTGAACTAGCAGAGAATCAAATCAGGCAAGATGGTTCTTGAAGACTGAAGCTGACCCCCACTGATCGAAATTTAAAATATACTGTGTCAAAAAGACCCAGCCAAAGTCCAGAGTTAAATCTAATCAAGAATCTATACCAAGAAGTTTAAAAGTTATGTAAAAAGGTGTCTTTCATTTAATGTGACTAAGAGCTATAGGGAAATAAGAATATGCAAAAGAAAATTTCCTATCTGTTCAAAACACCCCCCTAAAATCTTGTTGCCATTTGTATTAAAAGTTGTTTTGATAAAATATTTTCTCATCAGTATTGAGTCTGACTACAAAGTCAGGCATTAGTTTCAAGACTTTCCAAATGTACAATGTTTGTCCAAATTCATGCCTATGTTTTTTTTGTAGTATAGGAAAACAGGAAACACTCCCCAACATACTGTACCACCTTTTTATTATACTTAATGAAATGTTTCACAAAAAATTCTGAAATCATACATACGATTGCTTTAGTAAAATGAAAAAACACAGCAGACCAGTTTATTCTCACTGTTTGTTGACTCCATTTAATTGATTTTCTTCCCTTGGTCATTGAAAGAGTGGATTAGAGCTGTTTGACATATTATTCCAATGGTACCCTTTGTGCTTTACTGAATTTACCCTTTCTCATTATTGTCCGTCACAATTGGGCTGAAAACCGTATAATTGGAAGCTTTTCAATCAGTAGCATCAGACTGCTGGTTTGTGTTTGCTCGTTCTTCTAGAAGCTGAATTGATTTAAAAGCTGTAATGTGGCATTTAGCATCATTAAAATTACCAGGAAAATAAAGGTCACCCATTAAAAATAGCCTTTACTTACAGGTTAAATCAATGAGGTCAAACTAACAAAGATGCTGAGCGTTATAAACAGGGTGACATCAGGTGCAGGGTTTTTGGATGTGGAAAGAGGTTTTAAACTCTTTTGTGAAATATACCCCCCCCCCCCCCCCCCCCCCCCCCCCCAAAAAAAAAACAAAAAAACAAAAAAAAAACAAATGGTAAAAAAAAAAAACATTAAGAGAGCATTAATGAAAGGCATTTCAGAAATGATTTTCAGAGTCTTTGGCTGGATCATTGGGCTTCTGATCTTCTGACCTGGAGCTCTGTTAAAACAAACATGATATAATTTAAGTACATTTTAACTATTTAAGGCAAAACGCACTTAAAATAAAAGCATATGAATCTTTAACTTCTCAGCAATTTTTCAGTAGTTTTGATGCAAAAGAGCCAAGTGGACAACTGCAGATAGCTCCTTAACTCAAGAGTGTTTTTAATGGATCTCACATGTTCCAATTAACAGTATTAAATGTGTAAATACCTTGGACTTAAAAAGCAGGTTAATGACACCCTTTGAGCGTCTGTCAGCTGTTCGGTCAGACGATCCGGAGACAGACATGTTCTTACTGTCCCTCTTGGCTTTAGCTGGGTCCACCTCCTCTCCCACACCAGCGACTGATAGGGACAGACCTACAAACAGGAGGATGAGGGACTGTGTTGTGTTATCTTTAAACGACTCCTCTGTCCCCCCCCCCCCCTTTTTTTTTTTTTTTCTTTTTTTTTTAAGTCAAATCCTTTTTGGGAAAGCAATTTTGCTCTCGTGGCTTTTCTGCTGATGGTAATCTGCTGTTGCTAGTGATGTGTGTTTGCTTATTGTGGCCGGCAGTACTAATCACAGTTAGTGTATTAACACCACAGCCTGTGCTGGTTCAGCTTGTCTGAATGTGGCAGGAGGCCAACAGAGCATCAGTGAACGGTGTTGTGATGCACCACTACAAGGGCAAGGTCATGTAACTGATAAACTGAGACAAACTGGATGCAGAAACATTGGCTGTGTTATAATCTTCCATGTTTCCACCCCTTCCTGGTGGAAAGCTGTATTTTCAAACCTAAACCTGCAATTTTTTTTTCAGGTATATAACTTTGTTAGACTCTGTGTCTTTCTATTTAGATTTTGCCCACTAGTTGAGGTGAATTAGTGTGTGTATATTTCACCTGTGATGGCTGGCAGGGATCGAGAGTTGGCATTGGTCAGAGGCACAGTTGCATCATTTGGCTCGGCCAGGTTGGTGTCACTGCGGAACTCCTGCTTCTTGGACAGCTAGAGGGAGACAGAGATCAGAGAAAGCTCAACAACACTTTGACACAAGCTCTGTATTTCCTGGCTAAAGCCTTTACAATCAGCCCCCTCCTGATCCATCTCTGTTTATACTCTCCTGTCTTGTTCTACAGCCAATGATTCTCACCCTCTTGCAGTCCAGCGTGCTTGTCCTCTCTCTCTCCTCTGTGATGAAAATCATGCTGCTTCTTTTCTTCTTCTTCTTGCTCTTCCTCAGTCTGACCTCTGCATCACCCACTGTCACCACACCCTCCTCACCTATGCTCACACTAACGCTGCCGCTGGAACGGGGTAGAGTGGAGGACCAGGAGTTTGGTGACTCTGGGATGTCCCTTAAAGGGAGAGAGACAAAAGCAAAAGTAGTAAAAAAATGTTCTACGGAGAAGAGAGTGTTTTAAACAGCTCAAGTGAAAAAATAAATAAGTAAATAAAGGAACATATTTTATCTAGGTTATAGCCCAAGGTCAGTTCAGCACCCAGTATATTAATCTTTTTTGCTAAATAGTAGAGGTGGTTGTTAATCAGTTTTAGTAACTTTAGTTTGATAAATACAACATTTACAGTAAGGAACAAGGACTCCACCCCTCTTAATAGGAACAGTTTTACAGTTAGAGATCACAGACATTTTTGTCCCTGATCTATTTTTTTCACTGCTTCTGCATTTTTCCATGGTTAGAGTGACTTTCGTCAACTCCACAAAGGTTACAGTTAGTCCAAAGCGTTACAGATTTGCTATGTTTCCGAGCATAGTTTCCTCAGTATGGAGGATACCCCATGAGACAGTTGGTAAAAAAAAAAAGATAGCAAAATGACCTCCAGTAGGCACCTGTGTGTTTGACCAAATAGTTGCTGGTGATATTTGTAAAATTTTGTTGATGGGGACAGGAAAGGTCAGAAATTCTAATACTAGAACAAACTTTGTCAACAAAACTTTTGCTCTCATTTCTTTTATTTTTTAGCATGGCCTTGCATTCAGCCTGCCCTCTGCCTTGGTGCTTCTAACAAAGGCATTCGCTCTATTCCAGGTTGAGAAGCTCCTCTCTCCTTCTGGTGTGGCCATGGAGGTGGTGAGGATGCTTTTTTAAAATAACATGTGATTCTGAAAGGAGCTCTTCCAGTTTGTTCTCCATTAGCAACTGGAATGGTTCCACAACTTCACAAAGGAGCTCTTCTTTGCTGTAATGAGATCGAATTTTGTCTTCAGCTTGCTTCCATCTAGCTCTAGGTAGGCCTTCAAGGTGCAATCAGGTGTGAAGAGCACCAACAGCTTTCTATCCACCTGCATTAAGGTTGCACAGAGGAGGAGAAGAGGTATCCCATAATGTTGTTCCAGACCTAGAGAGGGGGGGAATAGAAAAGGACACAAATAAATAAGTACAATTTAATTTTAAATATATTGTGTTATTTAAAGAAGCATTGTGTAACTTTCAGTCTCTAGAGGTGCTAGACCTGTAACTTCCAGGTTTAGTTTTGCTAAAAGCCACAGGCAACACAGCACTATTGCAAAACCAAACAGTCTGGCTCCTTGTTTTGGAATCTGATAACAGACAACTTTGGAATAACAGAATAAAAAGTCATGGAGTTACTTGTAAAGACAAACCCCATTCACCCCTCTGCATTAAATCTTAAATCAGAGAACCAAAGAAAATGTCTGATCAGGTAAGTTTCATATCTGTTTTGTTGGCTAACAACAACTTTTAGGTTAATGAGCTCTCCAGTTTAAGGGGAGCTCAGACTGGCTCAAAGTGGCTCTCAGGGTCATATGACTCTTTCAGTGACAGATCCGACCCTCTGACTCATATACGTAAAGATATATTACAAAATACATTTGTACTCTTAAAAATATTACAATCACCTGTGAAACAAGAAAATTAATTAAGTTTATCAAGAAAACTCACCGACAGAGCAACACTCTGATAAAACTCTTAACTGAGTTCATGAAATCTCTCTGCTGGAAAAGGCTCTCTGATCCCTTGACTGTGGGTATCTATAAGGATGAAGAGAAGCCATGATAGTACTGATCAAAAAGGGGAAAGAGACAATGATGAAAAAATGTGATAATCACAATCCTCAAAGGAATACTTATTACCTGATGTTCAGTCTTTCCTGTTTGCCTCGCTGGAAGCTTCCTTTGATGTAGAAAGAGTCTCTGCGTTGATTGTGGAGGTTAGTATAAAGGGGATCCACATACAGAACATATGGATGATGTGAAGAAGCTCCAGAGGGGACTTAAAATCCTCAATCCATTAGCCACAGCACATTTTGGAGAGATGCTTAGGGTAGGCTGCTGGAGTAACTCCATCCATGGTCACCTGCCAGCTGCTGAATTTTTAAGTCACATTTTCTTGTTTTTTTTTAGACTCTCAGCAGCTGGGAGTATTTGGAGAGGGTATTGCAAGGAGATCTCTACAGGTCAGGTAATGATATACTAACTTTTATGATGAACCATTTGTACCTATTGTCAGACTACACTGTTGCTGACGGACCAAGGTTCCTCCTGCAGAACAGCGCTGCATGGTTTCATGGAGTGAAAGGTGATTCTTGGAGAATATAGAATCCAAAATGTTGAGGTTAGCTCAGGTTGCATCTCAGACTGTCCATGAACTCAGTGACACCCTGCTCCAGAATCGGGAGGAGATTACCCAGGATGTAAGATTTGTCAAGTAAACACTCAAACATTTGGAGGCCATAAAAAGTCATTTTCATTTTCTATGATTTTTTTTTCATAATGATTTCTGTTGTTTTCTTGATGTTCGTCTTTTAAGTCTTGCTTTCATTTTCATCAATGATGTGGCATCATTTTGTTCCTTACACATTACTCACTTCCTAATATAAACAAAATCTGCCTCATTTGGCCTAGATTCTCTGCACAATTCACTTTGATTACAAGCCCACATCATACAGCATTTAGTATTATTATAAAAGCTTTAGAAAAAAATAATCACGGATGAAAGGTGTGATTATTTAGGTGTGTAGAGCCATGTTTTCTATGAAAAGATGAGGAAAAACAGAGAGATTGAGAGTACAGATATATGAATGTGTTTTAAAACTTTCCCATGATATTTCTCTGTGGCGTATTTATCAATGTTGTCTTCAATATTGTTTTGCTGGTAAACAATGGATCTTTCCAACATAAGATCAGAGGTTAAATGTCAAAAAGCTTTGAACTGCTATGCTACCTGTCTGCATAAGACTTGGTTGGTGTCCCGCATTCAGATCCCTGCAGTGAAGAGATGGAGATGATGGACTGTCGAAAGGAGCGCAGCATCGAGCGAGGACGAGTTGACTTTCTCTCATCCATATCTGGCTGCAGAAACACAGAAATATCAAGATTTAGAAATATACAGATGACAAATGCTCTATGACATTTATTGGCACCCAAGCTTCAAACAAGAAAAGCATAGAACATTTAAAGGGCCTATATCACCCAAAAATAAGGTTGTTTTTTTTTACTTTTAAGTATGTAATAATACTGTTCCTTCACCAGAATCATGTACAAAGTAGTACTCTGTTTGATTAATGCATCTCTAAGTAACCATTGTGAGTTTTGCCATGCGAGTAGAAGTCCCACCCTCACCTGTGAAAAAGAACGGCTGGAGAGTGTCTACTTAGAGCAATGTTCCCTCCAGGAAACAGCGACTTTAACTGTGCTGTGCTAGCAATGTAAACAAACACCCTATTTCTCCAGTCAGGGAGGGGTGATAGGAGGTAAAGCGCAATGTCCCATCTCAAAGTTACAACTGCACAGAATAGCAGATTTTCTTTTTAAACAGTAAGTGCTAGAAATCTGGCCTCTGATCTCAGACCTTCCGTGCAGACAGGGAGAGGTGGCTTTGCCTTGAAAGCAATAGTTTATACTTTAGGGTTAGAAGAAAAAAACGAAATTTTAAAACAAAGGAGTACCAATGTAGTTTTAAAGTGGTTATGTTGTCATACATTTCCCTATAGATGACTTTAAAGCCTTACAGTATAAAGCACGACATATGACCTTTAATTCAAGTGGGAGAGATCTGTCTTGACCTTGATTATTCAGGAATTGCCACAGGAAAATCTCTGTACACTAAGACTTCCCCTTGTCAGCTAGAAGTAAAACAGGTAGAACAAGCAAGGATTGATGAAGACTTTTTCCACAACCAAAGGTTAATCTTAAAAACTGCAGTAAAGGTCACAGAGTCTCACTAATACACATTGGAGCTCCTTACAGTACATCCTAACCAATGAAGGAGGCCAGTCAAGACCTTCAATCCTAAATACAATTGTGTGTGTAGATAATCTCCAATGAGACATTTAAAAACGTTGCTGTAATTGGCTAAGATGTGAGTAAGACCTTTTGTTAAAATTACAGGTGGGTTTGGTAAGAAAACAAGAATATTTCCATCAAAAACAAATATTTTTGAAACTGCTGTACCTTATTATAAATTAAACAATAAAGCAACAGTTACTAGGCAATAGACGCCATGACACTGTATGTTAAACATCATGTGTTTCCTCGTGTGTCTAAATGACTTAGCAGTTCTAATTAAACCTATTCTACATTGCTTTTGCCACTGATATATTTACAAAGCAGGCTACAAAGGTCAATTAGTGCTACAGAGGTTTATCAGAGTTTGCATTGCTAAGTTTGACTTCAAGACAAAGATCCATCACAGTAACCTTACAGATGCAGTCTTTTTGAATTTCATAAAATTGTATTTTCATGTCTATTTCCCCTTTATTTTATTTATTTATTTATTTTTATTTTTTTACAGTGTCCTGCCTGGTGATGTGGCAATAAGAATAATTGTCTTAATGCCAAAAAGAGCCCAACAGATTGGCAGTACGGCTATTGCCATAGTGTTACGCTTGATTTATGCATATAAATTGCTTTATTATAATTATGCAGGGAGTTTCACAGATTATATGGACACTGCAATTTAAGTAGAACAGGAAAGGAAAAAGAAAAAAAGCAGAAAAGATTCCCCTTTATTGTTTCTGATTAATGCTTACCAACTCTCTCACTCCGTATTCCTTCTCCACTTTCTTCTTTAACTGCTTGAAACATTCCTCCATGCGCTCATGGAAAGGCCGCAGATCATCTGTTACTCTCTTTCCATGCAGAGATATTCCTCCACCAAGCAATGGAATCTATAGACGAAAACGTTATGATGTTAACAGGATAAACATACAGAGGTAGGACTAAAAGCAGGGTTGATGCTCCCATGGGTGGTAGAACCTGTCCTGTACCTGCCATGCGATGAGGTCTTTGAGGCGCAGGAGTTTGTCTCGATCTTCTGGGTGCTGCTGAGTGTACTCTTCAGTGAAAAATGCCTGATTGAAAAGAAATATAAAGCCTTTGGTTAAAGAAAACCATATGCAATAATACCTCTGGCAGATTTCAATACTGAAATTAAAAGCTCAATCAGTATCAATTTTAACACAAACTATTTGCCTGAATGAAGACATGAAAGTATTTGCTTTTTTAATACTGAAAGTATTTAAAATATCAAATATATTTGACCAAATTGATGATGATAAATATATATCCCTAATCTTTTTACATGATTCAGAAAGGTAAAAATGTAACAACTACAGTAATATCTGTATCGCAGAAGGACATGCCCCTACAGTTCAGTAATTTTCAAGACACCGCTCCGGTTTTGAATTTGGTAACTGCTTCTCTAGTCTCAGTGTACAGCTACGACTAAATGATTTTCTGCAGGGCCTAATTAAAGTATCCACACCTTCTGACTTTTTTCCAATTATGTCACCAAATAACCACAAACTTAAATCTAAATTGTTATGTTCTTTTTAAGGAATACCAAAATCACAGTAGTTAAATGATTGAGGAAAGGGTTACTGTTCAATGTTTTAAAAAAATCAAAATCACTATCCTTTACAACTACCTTTCACTGAACTGTAGTCTTCTGGTTAATGTCGACACAATCTTTCTATATCCAGAGAATAAAAATACAGCCCCTGATTTGCAAAACACTTTAGTCTTAGTCAGATTAGATGAAGAGTGTCTATGATGCATTTATAACTCTGCTGCAGATTCTCTTTGGATCAATGTATTAACTTTTACCACACTAAACCAGCGCATGCATGTTCTTTTGTCAGTACTATATCTCTAGCTGTATGTTTGGATTTGTTGTCCTGCTGGCCAGTATTTTCAGCATGTCAGTGGTTTTGACTGATATTAGTTTTAAACCAAAATGTTGGGCATTCCACTGATATAAGTGCAATATTTTGTAACAACAGATACTTAGACCTACATTAACAGGGGGTAATGTCTATCAGTCTGATACATGAATCGGCCACAAAGGAGGTGCTAAAGTAAAAATATTTTTTTTAAGTTTCAGGATTGGATTGTTTTTAGATTTATTTATTTTTTTTATTTTTATGTTTTCTTTTTTTAATGCTTTCCTTTTTTGTAGTACTTTGAGGTATTTTAATGACAAGTGTAGTATAAATCAAATATATTATTAATATTGTCTAACTGCCATTTGCAATGTCTGCTAAGGACAAAGATAAGGAACTATTAAGTGTCTATAGGAAAGTTCAAATGCAAAACAATATCTGAATATTGGGAAAAATATGTTCTTTCATATTTGCTGATTGTTTTGGACAATTTGCTTTAAAAAAGATTTGGCTTTCTTTCAAAATGCTCCCTTGTTCACATTTTTCTATAAATGCCAGATTTATGGAGTGCAAGACTAATAATGTCCTGTCTACATACACTCCCTCCTCTTTCATAGATTTGCAGCACATCCACCTTCTACATGAGTTGTCTGACTTCTCTCTGATTAATGCTCTCCCTGCCTGCCCTATTAGTTTAGGTGGAGAGCCATGTCTTAATTGGTATGCTGTTGTAGCATATTATATGTTCGGAGGATGGGTTGAACAGTGTTTTGTAGAATGTTAATATCTTGGAATATCGTTTCACACAATATCCCTAACTTTTAGAGATTTTTATTTGTAAAACAAATAGAAAACTATTACACATTTTCTCCAACTTGTGTTCTCTGGTGTCATGAAAGCATGACTAAATATACGGATGTTTCATCTTTAATATGACAAAAAATGTACTATATGCTTTAAAAAGATATGTTTTTGCATGGCACTGAGTTTCAATGATGCTTAGGCCTAGAATTAACCTTCTCTTTGAGAGATGCCATTTTTTCCCCCATTTCACCATAATGCACTGATTTGTTATAATCTATCTTCTAAAATCCTCCAATTTGGGGTTGTAAAGCGACAAAATGTGGATGAGGTGAAGGACTAATATTCAGATGGACCTTTACCCACTAAATAAACATTTATGTTAAAAAATGCATCATAGGTTTGATATGTTGGAGTATTTTATGAATATTTACCTTTTCATATTTAGCAAAGCCTCCCATGACAGCTGGATCAACAATGCCATTGAGTAACATGGAGAGTGGGTTGATGGGTAGACTCCAGTCAGCCTGATACTGATTAATCATGGTCAGAATCTTCTCATTGGTGGACTCCATGGTTTCGATGGCATTCTCCAATGGAGACAAGGTAGTCTGGAAATGGAGAGAAATAGAAAACAGACATTTCATGACTTGGGAAATGTGGTTCATGGTCTAGATCGGCATGCCATGGGGCAAGGCATTCATTTTGAGGGTAGTCATCTAGGATTTGTACCTAGAAACAATGTTGAATTCTTTTACTAATTTACAAAGAATTAAAGATGATTTCATTGTTTTAAATTATCCAACTTATTTTCTTAAATATGTTACTTGAATTATCAAACATAAATTTGATCATTTTGGACTGAATATATATATCAAAATAAAGTTTAAGGCTAATAGAACATGTATACCATTCTAAAAATTATTAGAGGGAAAATGGAGAGGTTAAAATTGGGCAGGATTAGTGACATAAATAAGAAGAGGGTAAGAAACATAATGGACACAATAACTTAGAGCAAACATTTAACTTTATGAGTCCAGAAGAAAATCACCCACACACAGACTCACATGTTTTATGTCCGTAGCCTCAAACCAGCGCAGGATCCCAGGCAGCTTATACACGGTGGTGAATGTGGTGCGTTCAATCCACATGGACTAAAAGAAAACAAAGCAGTGGAGAGAAAAGGATTAGGAATTGTTTATGAGTTTTTGCTATTGTCAAATCTGCTTCTCAGGACTTTTTGGTTCTG